AAAAAAAAAATTAAACAACCAGAAGTTCTTGGTAGTTTGGGGTTTGGGGATGAAGGTTTCAGTTGATAGGACAGACCAAACAAAGCTGGGCCTGTCTGCGGAGGGAACTCATCTTGAGGGGCTTCATAATGACGTTCTCCAGCATTTGAAGAAGGAGCAGATTGGGGTGCAGCACAAGTGAGTCCCAGAGGTGATTGTTACAGGGAAGAGTATTTAGTTCAATTAAAAAAGAGAGACTTTTACATTGAAAAGAGCCCGTTTCACAGTGGGAAGTCACTCTTGCAGCACCTAGGGTGGGGAAGTGGCCCAGCCTGAGGTTCTTGCCAGTGGCCATATTAATGTGGAGAGGCCTGGGGCTCCTCAAAGAGAGCCTGTTAGAAAGGAAATGAGAGCAAGGATGGAGTTTTTTCAGCTGCTCCCAAGGATCAAGAGTCAGGCCTGGGGGAGGGGCAAAGAGAATGATGAGTTGATGAGTTATGGACTTGTCAATTGCAGAGGCAACTTGACCTGGTAGAAAACACCAGGGCTCTAGAGATGGCTTTGGGCTCAAATCCCTACTCTTGCTCACCAGCTGGTGACTTTGGGAAGGCACATAGCCTCTGTGAGCCATGGTTAGCTCATTTCTAGATGGGCACAGTCAGGACGCTGAGTGTTGTGTGAGAATGTGTGGAAAGCCCGGTTCCAGGAGTGTATGAAAACTGACAACATATGCTGTTGTTTCTAGTAGAAGCAATGTCAGAATATCATCTGGACCAAACATACTTCCCAAACACTTTTTAGATAGGGAACTTTGTTTTTCAAAGTAGCTTGGAACCTTTGACCAAAGTTGGTAAGTGAGAAAACCGGGCGGCAGGTGAACATGGGGTATATTGGGATGGGAGCAGATTGTCGCAAAGCACACAGGTGACAATGGGGAGAAAGAAAAGTCAATGGTGTGGCGTGAGCTTAAAAATACTACCCAGAGACAGATTAGATGCTGGGGGTGACAGCTGGAAATGGAGCTAGATCTGGAAGATTCTGTGGTGTGTGGCTCAATGGGAGAACTTTCTAAGAGGTCAAATGCCTGACTCATGGAGTTGACTGCCTTGGGCGAGATGGAGCCAGCTCCCTGTGAACAGAAGTGGCCTGGCAGAGGCTAAATGAGCTTCTCTGAGATGATGGGACTGGGAGATGGGGCCAGATAGCCTCTAAAGTGAGGTCCATGTCCAAGGTCCCCCAGGGATGACTGGGGAGGGTCAAGGGAGGAGCAAATTGTGCTTTGCGACAATCTACTCCCATCCCAATATGCCCTGTGTTCACCTGCAGCCCAGTCTTCTCACTTACCAACTTTGGTCAAAGGTTCCAGGGACAGCCACAAGCCCAACCCAAGTCCAAGCTGCTTTGAAAAACAAAGTTCCCTATCTAAAAAGTGACCTTGGAAGAGAGAAGGAGAGGAAGGGCCAGAAGGCCCAGGATGGTGTGAGAGCAGGGACCCTGGCAGCTTCAGGCCCTGGTGTCAGGATCTGGGCTGCGAGGTTGGTCTCCCTCCCTCGGCTCTGCCCTCCTGCTCACCCCTGCAGAACTGGCCTCATGGCGGCTCCTGCTAGGACCTTTCAGTGGTTCCTCGTTTCTCTTCTGTTGTCTGGACCTACCTTTCACAGCCCTGCTTCCCATAGTTCCCAACTCAGCCTATCCCTTCCCTTCCCCCCATGGATAATCCAGCCCTACTCAGAATGATGTCCATCCATGGAATGTCTGCCCATCCCTCTCACTGTGCAGATCTTCCTTGCCTTTTGGGGTTCAACTTGACTCCCATTTCCTCAGCTTCCTTAAACTGTACTGCCCTCCCTGCTCTCTCCTGTTCAGAACGTGGGCAGCTTTCAGGAGCCAGAACCACCCAGATGATGGCATGGGTATCATAGGGAGCCTTTGCAAATTCAGGCCATGTTCTTCTTTACTTTCTTAACTAGTTTATGCTTCATGCTAACCCTATGAGGTAGACACAGTTCCAAGTGGATTCCACCTAAACACCCTCTCTAATTGGCTAGTTTCCAAAGTAGGCTGCACTCTTCCAAGCAGAAACCATGTTTATCCTGGCGACAAGCCCCATGCCCCATGCATCCCTGTTGTTTGAACATCTGCTGCAAAGATAACCTTAGCTTGTTGGGCCTTGACACAGACTCAGGGGTTCCGGGCCTTGGCTAGGAAGCTTCCACCCCCATGGGTGAGATGACTAGCATAAGCCAGGTGGAGAGGGACCCTGAAGTTGAGTCACTGGCCAGGGGGCCACTCTGGTCATCTCACTTGTTCCTTCTCTCCTTTTCTTCATCAGGGAACTCAATGGCAACAACATCACTCGGATCCATAAGAATGACTTTGTGGGGCTCAAGCATCTGCGGGTGCTGTGAGTATTGGATGCTGCTCATGCTCATAACCTCCCTCCTACTTCCATCCTCTTGTGGTCCTAGGCAGAGCTCTGGCTTGGGGGTGTAGG